GACAGGTCAGGCTGAAGGGGCGGAACGTTACAATTTCATTACAGATCAGTTCCACGTTTGATAAAGTATATTCTGGAAGACAGATCCGAGAGTCTCCCGCTTTTCTCCCTACCATCAAACCTCTCGGTAGGACTTTCGGCTCGCCACTGTTTAAGTGCCTCCATGCTGCCCAGATATTATACCAGTTACAAACATCCAGGTGCTCCAGGATTCGAACTCGTGTTCAACGATATGGCAACCAGTGTCGCTAAATACTATAGCGATCAGGGCAGCACAGTCACTTTGCAAATGGAAATCCTGGAGTTTGACTGCAGTTGGGTTTTCGGAATTTCTGACATTTTTTGGGTAACGATTATGCCATATATAAAATGTAACAGAGAACAATTCTTTACTAACCTTGATTTGGGAAATTGGTTCTCGTCTCTTGTTCATTCATCCGCCCTCAAAGTGAGGGAAATATAATATGTTCATGTGATGTGTTGGTCAACATACCTATAATTAGCCCAGGTGAGGTCTCGGGTTCAATTCCATCAGATATCACGGCTAACTTTTTGTAATATTCGTGTTTCAAGTTTAAAATTATTTCAACTTCAAATAACAAGTTTTAACTGATTAACATTAGGTTTATGGGCAGTTTTGTAACTCAATAATTACTTACACCCGTCAAATTGAAGGGTATAGAAAACCACGTATTTTCTTAAAAAGGGTTAATTTAATTTAAAAACATTACAATATTAACACTGAAACTACTGCCTATTTGATAACTATATAGTTGTTTACATCGTGTAATAAAAGTTACGGTATTTTTAGTTTTAACAGATTTATCAGAGCTTGTACCAGAGCAAACTTCGCTGATACTAATTATTTTCTTTAGTAATTCAGTATGTCTTCTTAAATTACTCATTATGAATAAAGAAGGATATTTTGTCAGAATAAAGTAAAATTATTACTTTTTTCCCAAACTATAATGATATTGCTAGTACTCATAATAATTTATTACTTTCTTCTCTATCTTCTCTTCTCGCTTTAACTGAAACATTTTCTAAAACGTCTTGACACACTGACTTGGACTCAGCGATTGCAGATCGATCCTTAGCTCTGAGCCTAACCCTTTATGTTTACGCTTTAGGCACGTGCGATTAATAGATAATCGCACGCGAAATATCCCTTGCTCTGGGAAAGTGCGGTGCGTTGATACTGGGTTCGAAATTATCGAGAGATATTTCCGTTGAATTATGACTTTTATTTAGCATCTACGTTCTAACTACATTTACATTTGTCACAAGAAAAATAATTTCATAAAAAAAACACCCGGTTTATTATGATTAACTACGAAACTAGTTTACCCGTTATTTTGGCGGATATCTGTTAAGATAGGTTGGTATACATAATACAGAACTCTGAAATTAAAGGCCTGAAGGGAAAATAAATTTGAGTATATATACATATATATACCTCTCATTACATCGATAATTTGTCAGCATAAATTACGAAACTATAAAAATAACGGTTTTCGTAATTTTTGCTCATGAAGTCTGAAATCCATCAAATTGATGGGTCCGTATATCTAGTGTTAAATAGTTGTTGCTTAGCACATTTACATGAAATAACACCATCGCACATGAGTGAAACATTACGAGACTGCGAGGATTGAGAAGTTACTGATATAAGATATTTTCTCCCTTCTTCAACCATACCTTCGTGGGATAACGGTAGCACACTCGGCGCGTACTCGAGAGGTCCAGGTTCGAGTCCTGGCGAGAGCATTGTTCATTTTTCACGTCTCCTCGTTCAAAAATGCCTAATGATCCTACAACTGTGTATATGTAACGTACAAATCACCCTGCCATAATTCAGTTTCTGTCTTTTCTCTTTTAAAGCTCGATTCGATTCTCATAAGCACGACGCGAAAGGAAGATACAGATGTGGAAATAGATAATATCACCTATCCAAATCTCTTTGAAAATGTATCAGGAAGTAATAACTTTTTATAGAAAAATAGGCACTTTCTGATTAATTATACATAAAAGAAAAGTCCCTACTTATTGGCTACATTGTGAATTGACAAAAAACTTTTGGTATACAGGTCACAGGTACTACCCGTTCATAAATAATAATAAAACGAAGCCTTTTATATAAAAAGTTATGAGGGGGGGAATAAAAATTTATATAATAAATATTAATATTTTTACAAATGACGGATACTGTTTAGAATCAAATCGAAAGCATTACATTACTCACAATTTCTTAGAAACTGGAGGCTGTTAGCTGGCATTGTTTTGAAATATCGTTTTTAAGAGAAGGGGGAGAAAATGAATAGAAGATGCGCAAAATACCGCCCGAGCGAAATTCTATGACTTTGATGTCTACATTTCTTCAAAGATCCAAATGTAAAAGTGTGAAAAACTAGAGAGAGGGTATCAAAAATGGACGCCTAAGAGTTGGAGTTATGAAGGATCGATTTAGATCTTTTGAAGTTTTGGACAGTTTAGGGATTATAATTTGTTAAGTTTCTAATACTTTTACAAGTTGAAATGCCTACTTTTGTTTGAAAAATTAGCAGGAACAAGTTAAAATACTGGGTCTATCAATACACCGAGTAATACACTGAGTCTATCAATAAATCTTTATGGATCTGAGCATTGCTAAAAACCACAGCCAGTTGACAATCTGACTTCGAATTTCATTTTGTAAAACTTGCAACTCTTTTTATCCGTGAGGATGAAATTGTTCTCCAAGTAAAAATACCATACGTCAGAATTCATATGACTTTTATTTTAGTTGCTTATTATGTGCTCTGCCCTTAGGCCCTACTCGGAAAGGGAGGGATGTCTCGTGGAGGACGTTTGAAGGGAAACTGGCTCGTATCCACGTCACACATGGGGTAAACCGCGAAAACACTCATGAAGCCAGCCCGTTCGCCGGATCCCGGACCGAACTACCAGTGTTCAGCGGCTTTTACCGCTGGTGGGCCAAAATCACCTAATAACTCTCAGATATTCTTTTCAATGCAGGGCTTGGAATTTTTCTTGTGAGGTTTGAAATGCTTTGCAGCATTCTGTTTGCTTATAACTAAAGCTTGCTAGCTAATATTACGGGTACCGTTTAGCAAAAGTATAAAGCGTGTAAATTCGCGTGCACTCAAACATGTATGTGGTAGGCGCATGCGTTTATTATATATTGTCATGCGTATATTCGAAAATACGGGAAAAACAGGCAATTTTAATTTTACCGAAAGTTGAAATTGGAGGTGAGAATAATCAGAAAATACTAAAAATATATATAGTCTACGTAAATTTAGTTTCATAAATACAGTAAATGTCGGAAACTAGAAAAAATCATGCAATTGCATACAGTCTATAATGTATGCATATGGATTTATAAATTAATAAAAGGCTTTTAAATTTGTTAAACTTCAGATTTTTTCAAACTCAGAAATATCTGCACCTATTTTTTTTTGTTACATATTTTATTGCGAAGGGGCATATTTATGTTATGTTACATTACTAAATCGCTGTTTAATTATTTAATCAAACGCGCTATTTTTATTTCAGATTCTGCAAGTGTTGCGATTTAAAGGGGTATAAAATTTTGAATTTGTTCCTCACACTACACTACCATACTTTCTAGCAAATTGAACACTTTAAATACAATACACGCATTTCTTAATAACATTATTAACATTTATGTTATTACTATAATAAGTAAAAGTCATTTGTAACGTCAAATATATTGTAAACCTCCGATGTAAAATTTTAAATCTTTTTGCTAACTCTCCTGAAAATTCCAAGCACACAATATATTTTGTCCCTTTCAATGATATTTTAATCGAAAAATATTAATTACAATTAAAACAAGTATGAAAGGAAGATTATGATATAAAACCGAAAATCGGGTTTATAAAGCCACATTTATCACATAACACACCCAATTTTTATTTGCAAGTAGTGTTCTTCAGTCTTCACCTGAAAAAAAAAAAAAAAAAAAAAAAAAAAAAAAAAAAAAAAAAAAAAAAAAAAATGTAAAGAGTTCGTAGTCAGATTTTATCATAAAAGGCAGAATTCTTAGTGCCATCTGTCATTAACAAATTTTAAAGACGCGCCAGAAAACGAGTAAATCACTCTACAAACAAACCACCCACATAAATTACATAGCATACTTTATTTGTTAACTCAATTGCTACATTCAATCTTTATTTTCAGTTTGGGAAAATGCAAGTCCTATCTGTTATATTCCTCTGCTAAAGTTGTAAAGGCGTTGTTATCGATATAACAGAGCAGACATTCATTTGACCATATAAAAGATAATGGTGCTACTTTCAGTAACGGGGCACTATTTCGTCTCATCATGAATAATCGATAATAAACTCTAGGACATAAAGAAGAATTATGGTTATAACTTTGGGATAACCAAATAATTTTTACGATACTTTTCAAGAAAAAAAAAAAAAAAAAAGAATTTAGATGAAACATAGAGACCATTAAGCATCTTTTCAGAAGTTCTATAGCTAGATTTTCAACTTAGCGAGTAACATTTTAACACGCCAGTGCTGAAGAAAACTGAATCTTCTTCTAGGGTAAAAAATATAATTCTCTATAAAAATGAATTACAGTCACCTGTGATTTCTGATTCTATTTCGGAGACGGAGAAAAATGGAAAACTAACAAATAATAATTAGATATGTTCTTTAGACTGAAAATGAAATGGAGAGTAAAATAAATAAAACACTACACCTCTAAAAGAATTATTTAGAGAAATCTAAAGCAACAAAAACGGGTCCGTTTCCCGAAGAGAAAAAAAAAGAGAACACAATCATATCACTAACGCATGCGCAAGCCATAACCCGCAGCAGAGAAGCAGTTTTCCATTTTTGAATTTTAATAAACTGTTTACATTCTGAAAAATGAGGAAATACAAAAATTATTTTATTGTTATTAATACTAATTTAGGCATAATTACAATGGAATTAATATACGAAATTAAAATAACATAAATTTTACCTTTGGGGTGTATTTAATCCAACGAATTCCAACAGGATAAAATCCCAGAAGTGGATGATGAACAAATCTCAACGGCAATAAAGATCTTATTTCGAGAAATTTGGCAATAGTTGTAGAACATACATTCCGACTTCTCCAGCAAAGAAAGAATGCGAAAGAAGCGAAGAGTGAAAACTGTCAAGATGAGCGATAAATAGAGATGAACAACCACTGGATCAAAAGAGTGAACCACAAGAGCATCTAGCGACTGATTGCAAATCGCTGGGATGGGGAAGTTATGTCGAACGCTGCCGGTAGATGGCACCCGCTGAGAAGATGACGTCATCGGCCAGGAAGATATTTTGCATCAGTCCGTTTGTTGATTAAGAGCGGTGACGTAACGCACCGATGTATGGGTCAAAGAGTTCTCAAAAGATGCAAGCTAAGCAACGTGTCATTCGGGAGATTGTAAAAATAAATTTCTGGTTTAAGATTCAAACTAGCAGACATGAACAATAGTTAGAAGATATTCTCGGGAAATGCATTAGTAGAAAGAAAGGCTACATTTTTATGATGTAAATTTTAATTGTATTCTTTTATCATTTCATAGTTATTTTCATTGAATTAATTAATATTTCAGAGGGAAGGAAATTTCTTCTTAAATATTGAAATCGAGGGAGCGTATAGAAAAAAGAGGAAGTGAAATTTCCTCTCCTTATATCCGCAAGGAAAATTAAATTTCAAATCCCACAGTTTTTCTCTTTATTTCCGTTTTCAATTGAAATCGATTAGAAGCTCCAAAAATGCCTTCTAAATTTACAAATAGGTTTTTCAAATTTTAAGTTATATCTCAAATATTTTTTTAACATTAAACTTTCTATTTAGCTTACCTGGGCTACGTTTCAGAGACAGATCTTCTATGCAAATAGTCTTGATTTCACCTTAGTATAAAAAACGCGGATGTATAACAGATATTAGGTAGATCCGGGCAAATGAATGCATGGAAATTTTTGTGTTTGCATGACGTAGTCCGTCCAATATTCATAAATCCTGAAACATTGTCTTCAAGCTCTTTTTTATTTATTTATTTATTTTCAGCATCAGAGGCGCGCTATTAGTCTGAATCCTCAAACTTTTGTCAGCATAACTTTACAAATAAATGATGTTTCAGCCAAATATTATCGCCACTGATTATTTTTAAAGAAATAATAAAGCGAACATATATATTTATATATATACGGTATTACTTAACATTCTTTCAATAATTCTCTAAAAATAAGATACTCTGTTTTTAAATATTATGTAAATTTGCTGTTGAATTTATCGGAGCGCAAGCGTGAAGAAAGTTACGTTTAACACCTAAAGTTAAAAAGACAAAGTGTTAATAGTAAAAAGGACAAAAAAGTTGTATAAGTCATCCTACTAAGAAAATTTGATACTGATATGGTGAACTAAAAAGCTTGCAAACTAAACAGAAAAAAAAAAAAAAAAAAAAGCGTAGCAGTACTAAGCACTTTATGTTCTACAAATATATGTTCTTAAAAATTTTGTGATTTTATTTTTGAATTTAATTTGCTTCAGTATAAAGAAAGCGATTAATAAATTAAAAAGACTAAAAACAAATTGCATTAGCAAGTGTAAGTTCAAGTAGATTAGTAAACTGCAAGCTCAGCAAAAACATATGACAAATCTCCTGGTTCGAGATCCTGAACCCAGATTTTCGTCCTTTTTTAAATTTTATTTCTGTAGTTAATTATTAGAAATACTGAACGTGAATAGCAAAGCAGAAAGTTTCATGAACATTAATTATGGGTTAAGATGTAACATATTTCGTATTACCCAACGCTTAAAAGGAAGATGAATGAAAAATGAAGATGACGGCACTGATCTTAGAAAAATGCGGGTGGGGGGGAAATGAGAGAAGTTCGATATCTCCCGTTCTACAAGGCCGATTGAAGAAATTCAAATTGCGTTTTTCAATCTCGAAAGCACGACGTAGGATATGCATTAGATTTATAAATATCTTTTCTAACATAGGTATTTTGACATGAAAAACGCAAGTTGAATTTCGTCAATTGGCCTACTAGAACAGGAGATATAAAACTGTTTTCTTTTCTTTTCTTTTTTTTTTTTTCGCAGTCTATCAATACTTGTGCTACCAGTATCCATTGAAAAAAGCAAAATAAAATATTGTTGCACATATACGGGTTCATAATAGATTGAACGCACAGGGAACCGATGATAGCTTGATAAAATTTATTTTACCAAAGGAAATATTTAACAGTTACTGGACCTTCCCACAAAAATACTTGTACAGCTGTTCATAGTATCACAGAGTACAATGAGTACTTACAGTGCAAACTACTAAGAACGTCGAACACAACGATATGTAAAGCGCAACCAAAGAGTGAATCTAAACACGGGGGTATCTCAATACTCCGAACTCACGCTGAACTAAACAACTCAGGAACTTACGCTCTTTCCGGTCTTATAGTTTTCACCGACCGCCTAGAAATCTCTAGCACTTCTCGAAATCACTGGAAGGCATATCAGGGCCCAATATCATCAATTACATATCTAAATTAATTACATTTGTTGAATCACGACACCAATTACAGTTATACATGGATCGAACCAAAATGTCGCCAACTGATCGCCAAGTTTTGCAATTTTTGGCGATTTCTCGCCATCGCTGGCGACCAAAATTAGTTACCAAAACCTTCGCCAGTTTGTTTGGCCAGTTACATCGCCAATTTAGCGAGACGGCCATTTAATCAATGTTAAATAGTAATGCTCCTGTATTCTTACTTCTGCCGCAAAGCTTCACATCTTAAGATTTTCATGTTATATTAAACCAAAAAAAATACCACAGTTTCGTTAAAATTCTTTACATATGTATAAAGACGGTTGTTATGTTGTTAGTTTGCGCTGGGAGAAGAATTGGAAACAGTTAAATGACAACTGTGGTGTCGCAAAATGATTAGCAAGAAAAATGCAGCGTAATAATGCATCATCCTTAAAATACGGAGAAATTTTAAATGAGTATCTAGATCAAGGGACAATAGAAAGAGTGTTAGATACTTCGAAACTGTAAAGAAGTCAGTCTTTTATATTCCACATCAGGAGTTGTATAAACTGATAAGTGACCGGGGGACTTGGGCACTGTCCCTTTACCATAGCGATTAATCAGTACAGCCCCACGCCCACCATTATCTAGAGAACACAATTAATATAATATATAAGTAGTATTACAGATAAAAGCATGGTACAATGTACATAGTAGGAGTAATTACATCTAGAAGAATGAGATATAAATTATATAACATATGAAATATTTACAGATTGTTGTGCGAGCAATCTGTCGCAATTGTGTCGCAATTGATGCTGTACCAGAGATACACTGCGAAAAAAAAAGGGGAGACAGTTCTATATCTCCCGTTCTACTGGGCCGATTGACGAAATTCAAATTGCGTTCTTCATGTCTCAAAAGCGCGACTTAGGATATATATTAGATTTATATATAGCTCTATTCTAACATAGTATTTGACGAAATCGGACTTTTTCTGAAATAACATACCAATGTTTTTCCATATTCGATCTACGACTCAAATTATGCCAATATGAATTTTGTAAAATTGATGCGAAATTTACGGAGAAATTCACAAATTTATGTGCTTTTTTTTTTTTTTTTTTTTTTTTTTTTAGTTTGTGCCAAGATAGTTCCTTGCGAACTTCTTAATATATAACCAATTTTCCTTTCCCATTAGCAAAAAAAAAAAAAAAAAGCCACAATCGTCTTTTTTCCAATAATTTTCTTGATATTATACTTTTAATTTAATTTATTTTTAAGTAACATTTTCTTTTCGAATTTCATTTTAATTGTTTAAGTTTGCATGGTTTTTCGAATAACTTTTTAAAACTCTTTTACCATTCGAACTGCGTGGTTAATAAAAGGTGCATCGTTTTTTTTTTTTTTTTCAGTAGTTTTCTTTATAATTTTTTTTTGTCATTGTTATTTTTAGGTAATTTAAATTTTAATTTTTTAAAATTGGTTGTGCCGCATTGTCTCTTCAATAATTGTTTTTTAAAATTTTTTATTTATCATCAACTGAAGCATTTTAAATATATTTATTAATTAAATTTTCCAGGATTTTATTTTATTTATTTGAATTGCGGTTCTTTCAGAAGAATGCTTTGTGTCTCAGCATACGTGTATCTGAAAACTGATATATAAAAAGTTAACAAACACCGCCTTTCAATGTTCCGTTAAAAAAAATAAATGAAAACCGACATTTTAACTTAGGATAACTTACATATTGCTTTAAACGCTTTAACATTTGCTCATTTCTTACACAATTTTGTCATCCTACATTTAGTTTCTTAAATGTTATCATTTTAGTCAATATTTTATTTTTGAAATCGCAAGATCAAATATCATAAGATTAAAAGTTTAATTTAAAAAAATAACTAAATTTTGTGCAATTTTTTTTTTTTTTCCTTCTTAATGGCTTGTTTTTCTTCAGGCATTCTGCAGTAATTAAAAACATCCAACTTTCGAACATCTTGGTATTCTGACATTCATTTTAAATTTCTCGCCTTCCATTCATAAAGGCCCACAAACGCGAGCGGAAAGTCGCGAACGCTGTAGTTCTCGGGGTTCGAATCCCGGTACGGCTGCTGCATGGGCGTTTCGTTTTTTCATTGTAACTTGTATCTAGTGGTTTCCTTAAAAGTCTTCACGAAGGCGTCTCTTTAGGCAGATAGCCCTGCTTTGCCTTAACTCAATCCAATTCAATCCATTTCATCAGTTTGGGCGAGCCTTTATCAGTGTTTCGAGGCTAAGCATTTGAAAGCATGAGATGAAAGGGAAGACTGGTTTCATCAAGAGGAAAACGTCTTCGATACAATCCACATACATCATGGATAAATTCCTGAATTCAAATAATTGGACTAAGAAATCATGGATTCTCCGTTTATGATGATATGATGTTCTATACATTTAAATTTATACAAACTATAGTCGAAAACAATCGCTCTCTTTATCTGCAAAGATATCGTTTTGTCTTTTCCATTAGCATAAGCTCAATTGATGTGGAGGTGTTACGCGTCCAAGTGTTTTCTCTTTGAACACCCAAATTCCTTGAATTCTGAAAGTTATTAAAAAGCATCCAACTTTTCGAACGTTGTTATTTATACAGCCAAATTCCCCTTCAAATGTTTGCTTACTTTCTCTCTAATTTTATTCTTTCCTTCTACATTTATTTTCAGTGCTCACCACAAGGAA